AGGGAAAGTCTCCGTACGGTAACGGGAGGTAATTGTGTCTGTTGATGAATTGCAGGCCAGAGAACCACGACTGGAACAGCTCTTTGGTTCACGCGGTTGCCACCCCTTGGTAGGATTTCGGCCTCTTGAAACTTGAAAACGACCTGGTCCCATCGAATGAGCCGCCACCTGAGAGCTAGCCTGCTTCCTCCCCACTGCTGCTGTGTGTTCGACCATTCCTATCCGGAGAAATCTCACAGTTTCTTTGACATAGGTGCCTTGTCCGCAACTGCACCAGTTCTAGTAAACGGCTTTGGTCTGTGTGCAACCCAATTCCAAGTAGAGTGAGAAGGTGACTGACGTCATCCGCGACGCTTTTCACGTACGGAGGAGCTCACCACAGCAGCTACGTGCTATAAATGCTGTACTTTTTGCGCCTCCACTACCCACATCTGCGACTCTCTGATGATGGGTTCGAGTGTGAATCCGAAACGTCAGGCTAATAACCTTCTTGTTCCAGTGGTCGCATCTTGTTTGCAACACCAATTATTAAAATACGATTACAGAAGCTACTACTATTACTACGCTTAGCAGCAGTGTGACTGTTTTCAGATTGGCAGAGTTAAAGGGTCGGAGCGATGAGTAAAGCAAGAAGAAGTCTTCGCCGAACCAGATTTATTGAACTGCTGGTATTTCGGGGAGCTTGGTCGACTCATCATTGTCGGCGCGTTGAATGGGCAAAATGGGACAAAAATGCTATTGGGATGTCGAGTTAGTCAGCCTCGGGGCTAATCGGCCGTATCTTCTTTTGGCGCCTCGGCTTTTTGCCGGATGTTTAGCGGGATTGGCAGTTGCGTGCGTTATGACTCATTACCTCGATGGAGGACGGTTGAACCTCTACGGAGGTTGCTCGGTCTGGCGGCTGTTTTTCTCGCCTGTCGAGTGAATTCGTCTTCGGTCCGTGTCTGCGCAGCCTTCTGGAATTCTGTGTGGCTGTCCTGCACTAGTGTTTGTGTACGCAATGGCGCGGGACTTATAAACTGCAGGAAAACCGAGCTACCTCTTAATGGATTTGGCGTCTGAATACCATATCTCCACTGTTAGTCGTTTGCCTTTCAACAACCTCGAATTTAGATGGTCGCTACATGAAGGTCGAAAGTATGATCCGTTCCTCCAGTGTATACTAAAAAATTGAGAATTCGGGCCTTCCATCCGATCTGTCAGTTTGTGTTCGTGTATGCGGGTTTATAATTTTCATCCGGTCCCTCTAAATCAGTTTCATTTCCCATCCTTTCAACTTATTTCACAAATAACCGCCGATATTTTGGCGAGTGTCCTTATGTTTCATCAGTGGGATGGTTGATGGTCTGTGTCTATTCTGGCGGGCAATAACAGTCTGAGGTTCAGACTATATGCAGTCTGACCTCTCAGCTCGCTTGGACATGCTGCAGATGATGAAGTTACGCAGGTAGCCACTCACTTCGATTGCTCATCGAAAGTATTGCACTTCGGCAACCCTGTCTCCCGGTTCCCTGCAGTGTTTCTCAAAACTTCGGTATAGCACGCCTATATATAACCGAGTTTGTGGTTGATTACGTGGTTGTTGTTTTACGTCATTTAGAGCGTCGTATTTTTCGCTTGCCTGGGCACTTTGCTTGCTAAGCTACCACAATCCCTGCGACAGAACAGGACATCAAGAAGAGCCATCAGGTGCCCGTTAATGAAGCCAAAAGACTCGCTGCCAAGGTAAAGAGCGTCTGAAGCCGTTTATTTAAACGAATGCAATCGTAAGCAACGCATCTACGTTGGAGAAATAAGACGCTAGTCGTCAAGCACGCAGCAGCAGTGGGGAAAACTTCGCCAGCTTCCAAGTTGCGGCACATTCGACTGGACGCGGCTATGCACTCAAGTTTGTGGAGACCGAAAACCTCACTAGAATTAACAACCTCGTGGAGCACAGACTGCCCGAGACAAATTTTTCCGACGTCTAGAAGATGTCGACACTTTCTTGAGGTACGGCAGCACTAGTAAAAAATTGGACCCGTGCACTTTGGTCCCTCTGAGAACCGTCGACAACCTTGTCTTCCGGTTCATTGCAGTACGTCTCAACACGCCGATATAGCGCCCTCACAAAACCGCGCTTGTGACTAACTGGGTGGTTTCTGTTGAAACCCAGTATGTGCGTCGTATTTATCGCGTTCGAAAGTAAATATAAAACACCGGAAAAATGATCTAAATGGATTTCACCTTCACACAGACCTAGATAAGGTGAGTGAAGTACACTTCGTTGGGTATTTTTTGCTTGAAATTTTGAAACAAAATGCTTCCTTTTCGAAGGACTGGAAATGTGCTGCCTCATCGAGGGAATGACTGTGCACTTTGATGCTGAGGAGTGCGTATCTGTCGAGTTCAGTCAGAATTAAGCCGGCGCCCCGAGTATTCTACCCTCAACCCACTTCGTCGATCTGATTGTCTCCCATAGATACGGTTTTGAGAGATTTAAACCGGTATCGCAACTTTTTGCTTCTTTGAACATGCATATTCTTTAGGTTGAGGTTCCGTCTGTTTGTGAGGATCTTTTTTTGCTCGACGCAGTCAAACACTGTGGTGTTTAACTTTCCCAGTGTTGTCGTTCCCTGGGGTCGTTCTTATGTTTGAGCTTGGAGCCTTGTCTTTGAGACCACGAAGCTTTGCTCATTTCAGGTTTCAGCATCCTTCACTGCCTTCGTCACAAGTACACCACGGTGGTCTCCCCTCCTAACCAGAACGAAGTCCAGTAGTTGTCGGCGACATGAGGGAGGGCCTGTCCATGTGGTTCTTTTGGGATTGGACAGGTAAAACACACTGCGATGACAGGGGAGGGGGATTTTTTTGTGTGCAAGCGGTCAGTAGTAGAAGTCCGTTGGACAGCGGTATAGAGAAGGACCCCACATAACTGTCAGTAGATTGTGGATCGTGCCATACGTGATTTTTGGTCAAGGGAGTTTTATGGGTGGGACAGCACGCTAGACAGTAAGTTGACAAAATGAAAGAAGACACTGAAGTCGCCTGGATTTATGCCTAAAGTCTTATTGTACGACAACGGAAACGAGAGTAGTAATTAAACAACAAACAAAAGCGAATTTCACAAAATAACGGATTTTGAGTTAAGGTGTGAGGTCCTGGGAAGTAATCGCTGTTAGCAGGGTTATTTCTGCAACAGCCTACAAATGTATTCCAAGATAAAACCCCATGTCACACGATCCACAGTCTACTGACAGTTAAGTGGGGTCCTTCTCTACACCGTTGCTGCCCGTTGTTATTGCAAGCATTCCCACCCAGTTAGCGCATTCTGTGCATTCTATGCAGTGTGGTTGACGAAAATGCAATGGCTGCAATGGCTCCTTTTTAATGTGGCCTTTATGGCATTCCCACCACAGTGTGGGATCCGAGCCAGGCGTTGGCGGCACGCCCAGGTGCGGCTTCGGCCGTGCCAGCCTCCAAATCTATGTTGTGTTGGTTCAAATCCTGGTTATTGCTGTGTGGACCAGGGGGTGTGGTGGAACGCCAAGGTGAGGATTCGTCCGAGCCATCCACCTGCGGCCTCCCTCGTCTCCGGTCTTCTTGATTCTGTCTTGACACCGGGCCCAGGCGGGGGAGGAGGAGAGAGTGTAGGTAGATGCTACGCAAGTCTACTGGCACTATAAACCCCTGCGTAAGTCACCGTCCCTGCTCCCACCGCTGCTGCTGCAGCTGTGGGGCACACGGTGGTCATCGTCGAAATCGACGGTCGAACTGTCGGTTGACGAAAATAACCTTCTTATCGCTTTTCGGTACAGATGCAAGTGGCCGCGGCATATCTTTTTCCTTCATACCACCCGGTATTTTCCCTGTCGGAACATACGAATTAATGATAGATGCGAACAGGCAAAATCCAGGAAGCAGTTCAGAAGATGAAGATGCAATCACCGAAACAAAAAATCTTTTGGCCTGACGTTTTGGATTCTCGCTCGAGGCCATCATCAAAGACAGACAGAGATAACAGTAATAGTGGCACAAGGAGTGCAGTATTTACAGCATGTGGCAGCCGCAAGACCACATGCGTACTATTGTCGGATGTTGTGTGGTCGACAAAATAAAGATTCCCAATCAAAAGTCAGGGAAGACGGATTGAGTTGGACAACCCTTACTGCCTGAGGAAGTGCGTACACAAGGGCTCTGTAGGCAGTCGCCGCGAGCACGCTCCAAGCAAGCTGTTGTCTGTGTCCGCCTTCGGGGTGTTGTCTGTGACCGCCTTCGAGGTTTTGTCTGTCACCGCCTTCGAGGTGTTGTCTGTGACCGCCTTCGAGGTGTTGTCTGTGTCCGCCTTCGAGGTGCTGTCTGTGTCCGACTTCGAGGTGTTGTGTCCCAGCGCGTGTGCGCGCTCCGTTATCTCCGCGTCCGCCAGCCAAGCAGAGGGGGGACAGCGTTGATTGGCCTCGAGCACTCGCGAGTCCCAGCAGCGTATCGACAAGGAGCGTGAGGCGGACAGGACGGCAG